GGGGGGGGGGGGGGGGGGGGGGGGGGGGGGGGGGGGGGGGGGGGGGGGGGTCCGTGAGCAGGTCCAGAACCGGGTCTGTCTCATAAGTTATTAACCGGCGGAGTTTTATGGTGGTGCTGTACCGCGTGCAGAATGCTGGGCATGAATGTTTAACGATGGAGGCCTATGGACACGGCGGCACTAACGGCCGAGAGACGGAGCGACCAGGAAAGCAGAAATAAAACAAAAACGCCAATTTTTGTGTGTGTGTTGGGGGGGGCTAGGGATGACACGGACTGAACTTTTGATGATTAAGTCGGGAGATGTTGCAGAAGACAGCCGTCAGACCCAGCGCCCCACTAGGGCAGGATCTCCCCTCCCAGTGGTCTCGCACCCGAAATTGCCCTCCCCAGCAGGACAAACGCAATACACTGCAACTCCCGCAAACATAAACAGAGGCAGCCACTTGCGGGAGCGGACCCAGAACAGAACAAAACATCATAAAAACACACCCGATTTATGCAGTTATGAAACGGTATGGATTCTGAGGCGGCCGGTCACGTCACATGGCCCAAATCTGCTTTCTGAAGTCACTGCTGCAATGTCAACTCCCAATTCATCAGCCTCTGGCCTGTTCCTCGTGGGACGACGTGTGAGTATGATGAATGGAGATTTAAACATGCAAGAAGGCATTCAGAGAGGATCGAAACCATCAGTCTGACAGGCTGGGTCATTCACTGAGAATGAGAGTCACGGACATCCACCCAACATCCAGTTTTGACCCGTTTGCTATTCTCCTTACTCATATCCCTACCCCCCCCCCATCAACAAACATCAGTATCGTCTGCATCTATTCCTCCAGACCCAGGACCCGGTTGTCATTTAGTCAAATACAAGTTATGGTCCACTGAGGCAGAACCAGGCACAAAAAAATGTAAACAGAGGTCAAACTAATAGTGAAGAAATCCCTCTTGTATTGTTTGAAGACGGATGCTGTTGAGGGTCACCGGTGCTCTTTCTGCGGCAGGGAGGGAGCCGGGTGTCCGTCTCCTCTGTGGCTTTTTTTCCCACAGAATTCACACTTCATTGTTTCCAGTGTCTTCTAGATGCACTGAGACAAAATGCTAATTATCAGTGGCCTCCTGCCTGCATCTCTTCCTCCTTTCCTTTCTGCCCCTTCTGTTTTAATAGCTTCCCCTAGTGATCCTCTTCAGGGCCAATTCTAGGATATTAAAGGTGGGAGGGGCTAAGAGGGGTCATAATTCATACAGAGGAGTTAACCATATCATTAGCCAATGACAAGTTTTGAATCGGTGAGTGACGGGAAGGGGGCGCTCCAGGGACCAATCAGCTTTCAGCTGCGGTCACTGTCCCTGTGGCCCCGCCCGTCAATAGTCCCCCGATCCTCTGTCTCCTTCTCAATTTTTTCCCCTACATGGAGACCTTTCCTCTACTCTCCTCCTCTAGCATCATCCCCTTCTCACCTTATGATGTGAAGAGCAATCCAGAGTTTTAACAAAAAAAATAAATAAATAAAAATCATGCAGTTGTGATCATTTTGTTGGGTACAAAATACATGGCTGAATAACTACAATCATCAAATAAAAACATAAAACAGACAAAAAGCTCCTGCAGCAGAGCAGGCCGGGGTGGATGTGCCCCTGTTTTTGCTGGAGTATTATATTGATTTCCTGACTCTGGCCTGTTTATATTTTTCTGCTCCAAGAAGAAACACAACAGGACACCTTTTAGATCATTAATTTGTGGGGTCCTCCAGGTCGTTATCTGGCTTCCGTGCAACAACTGCCTCGCTAACTCCTTTAGCCGGAGTTATGGAATTCCAAGCAATACTTTGACATTCTTGGCAGTTACTGTTTATCATTGTCCATTATTTATGGTTCCTGTCCATTGGGGCAGTGGTGGCCTAGTGGTTAGGGAAGTACGTTTGTGAGTGAAAGGTGGCTGGTTTGAACCCCTGACCAGCAAGGTACCCTGACCAACATACTGCCCCTGGGTGTTGAATTAGCTGTTCATTGATGTCACATACAGTATGGAGTAAATGCAGAGGGCACGTTTTGTTGTGGTGTGTCAACAATGACTATTTTCACTTAATATCTTTTTACTATCTATCCATCCATCCATTCATTTAGCTTAGTGTAAGAGGTTTGATATAATATTCCAGATGGACCTCCTTAAGACATATATCACTGTTACTGCTTGCCATTAACAACCCAACAGCTCGATCCGTTCCAAGTAATTTTCTGAGTCCTTAAGCCTGACGCTACGCGCTGAATTCTTCTAGCACTAGTTGAGAAAACGTGTGATAAAAGGCAAAAGGTCATTTCTCATTCAGAAATACGTAGAAATCACAGAAATGGCACGGTGCATTTTACAGCGCTACGCGTGTGAGCTGACAGTCAGTAACACCCCACGCAGATGCTGCGGAGGTCAACGAGGCAGTGACGGCCAGCTCCAGCGAGACATGGCAGGGGGCGCCGGAGAGCTGACCCAGCCTCTTTATGTTTCTGTAATCGCTCTACCCCTGTATTAACCCTGCAAATGGAGACAGAGCTCCAGGTTGGCCAGACCGCTGTTTCACACCCAGCCATTGAATACAGTCATTACGGTCCATTCAGTGAACTTCTTTAAGCGTTTCCTGGACAGCTATATAAAATCCCATTTACTAAACAAATCCAATTTACCTTAACGAGCGGACAAAATAGGCCCGTCAGAAAATAATTGGGTAAAACTATGTAATTGAGTAGATTGCTTCAAGTCATATTTTTTCCTCAAACAAATATCTCCAAGTCAGGGTGAAAAAAGAAATTCACTGAATACAGAAATTTCATTTTGTCAGATAAATGGTGTCAACATAAAGTGAAACGGCATGCAGCTAAATGAGTCTTTTAGCGTATTGCTGTATGAAGGAAGGGCCTGGAATGCTATTGCTCATTAAAAAAAAATCATTACTTAGAGGAGGGAGGATCAATCCAATCACTGTGCTGTGCCATCAGTGTGATCTCAGTGGTGAGCTAAAGTGTCATTTTTTTATTAATCATGAAGAATGATAAATGTGTCTGTGTTTCCCTTAATAACAATGGCGCCCCCTGCTGGCCAGACTAGATGGTTTTGCAACACAACAATCACTGTCCAGTCGTGAGTGTGCGATGATCCCTCCCCAGCCTCATCCCACCCATTGCTAGGGCTGAGACAGTGCTTGTCATCCTCAGTTCACAAGTATCACTGTGTTAGCTGGGCTTTCCTTCAGATAAAACACTCAATTAACGAATCTTGATGAGCAAGTGCGAATTAATGATCTAAATGTTATAGTGCAACATGGACATTTGCAGGGGTACTATGCTGAATGTGTTGAACTTGATCTGGTTCATTCAAATTAGCACTCAGCCTAATTAGCATTCATCAGTCACTAGTTACTTAATTGTTCAGGAGTTATTAAGTACTCCAAGTACTGAAGTAATCAATTATGATAATGGATAGCACTGCATTATTGCTTTAATGGCCAAAAAAATGAAGAACAGTATGTAATTTCAGCCTTCCTAGCAGTACAAATACTAATGTAAATGTAATAAGCGAATTCACAAATGTCAAGACAGACCAAACGCCGCTGGGAATGCAATCGACAGCTCAATTATGCATAATTATCCAAGACGTCTGGCCAGAGTAAAAAATATTACAGATCTCTGTCGTCCAGGACTAGAGCTGTGAACCATCGTGGGTGCGGCCTACGATCTGCGGGCAAACACAGACCTGCAAGAGGACGAGCCCCCTGATGTATTTTTGGCCGTGATCACAGTTTACACCTCGCTTTTATTAAAGCAGCCCCATTTTCTGTTTTCTATAATGTCAGCTTGCCCAAGGAAGGGTCGGGTAGCTAATTGACCTTGGACCCATAGAAGGTTTTTTTTTCGCTCGTGGGAGTTTTACTTAACCAAAAATGTTCTGAGGGCAGAAGGAAAAATGATTGGTTCAGAGAAATAGGCAATCAGATTACAGAGGAGGTGGATCCAAGCAATTAGAGGAGGCGGAACCAAGACATTGGATTGGCCTCCTCTAGTTCCTTCTCCCCTCAAAACATTTTTTGCGCAAGTAAAACTCCTATGAGCTTTTTTTTCTGCCCAATTGGGAGTTTTTGGTTTCTCTCCTCTGTTGTCTTCTTCCATTGTTTCTTTGCCTCTTTACTTCTTCCCTGTTTCATGCACCGCTTTGCATAAACAATGCAGTAACATATCGCTACACATTCCTGTGCTACACCTTGGATTAAGTCTGTTGCGAAAGGTGCTTTATAAATATAGATTCAATTAAACCAAACCAAACCAGCATCTTCAGAAACACCTGATACCTGATAGGAAGCTGCAGAAACATCTAGAACTCAAACCAGCAAGTCTTTGATAAGCCCTGCAGGTGACGAGGTGTAAGGCTCCTGAAAAAATGGGGGATAACAGTGCACCAGTGGTAGCTGGGGGAGGAGGGGGGGGGCAGTTAGGAGTGCTGAAGAAGGCGTTGAGGGTCAGAGCAGGGGTCCTCACCCGTGAGATGAGCTCGCCCACCATGCCCGTCCAGGTGCCGTTGGCCCCCGGGACGCCGTAGACCCCATCGCCCACCAGCTGGATGCGGTAGTTGAATCTGAGGATGTGGGCCAGCTCCCTCAGCATGTCCACACAGAAGCCCTCATAGCGCTCATTACCCTCCAGGTCCTGGTGGTTCTCCCGCAGCATCACATATGGATTCTCCTGTGGGGGGGAGGAGGTGACACATGACTCCGCCCCTGTGGACACTCCCTAGGGACATACATAAACCCCAAGGAGCCACTAACTCCAGTTAATACACTCCCTAGTATATTTGGATATAACCACTTCTTGATACCTGGATAGATTCATTTCTTAACATATATTTTATTCTCAAGGATGTAATATCAGGCAAATTTTTACTGAAGAGCGATAAAACAGCTTAGATTACATCCTGGAGCATATGAATACAGTTCTCAGAAAGGTCCACACAGACTGTGAGCTGTATAACCTTTAACACAAGACATCCTTCCAGTTCAATGCCAGCCTTGAAAGAAACTTTTAAAGCCTTTGTAGGTAATCTGAGCCCCCCCCCTAAAAAAACAAGACGCCTCTATTTTCTTCATTCTCCCCTGTTTGGAGGACTGGGGACACTCATACTGGGCCATTAAGACAGATCTTTCGGTACCTCTTGTTGCCATGGCAACGCTCCCCCGGCAGGCCGGAGCCCAGCCTCTCGTCCAAGCACCTTTATAGCGTTTGTCAAGCGACTTTAATTCAGCCCGGCTGGAGGTCACGGCGGCGGGACGCCGCCAAGCGCTGTCGACACACTCCATCTCCGCGGAGATCATTCAGGCCAAAGTCAAAGAGCGTCTGCAGCCTCGGTCGGGTTACCGTGGCGATGGGATTGGGCCCGACACCCACCACGGACCATTGTCCCGCCTTATAGCTTAGTTTTGACCGTGAGTCAGTGTGGGGGGGAGGGGGTGCCAGCTAAAAGACAGATGAAAATTATGGACTACAGAACTTGGTGAAGGGGGTAGGGGGACAGGCAGACTTTCGAGATGGCCACAGGCTGTTAGCTTGTTAAAATCACCCCCCCCCCCCCACTAGACAGACCGCCCCGGGAATGGCCGCATGACACCCGGGGGCAGGTGCAATATATATGCAAATTCAGGGCCCACGGCACAGTGCTTAGCAAATGGCCCCCGTCCCCCAACACCGAGTTTATTAATGAGACGCTGCTTGGGTCCGTTTGGGCTCAACCCTACAGCCAAAAGGTCAAGGGGGGGGGGGGCAAGGCTAATTAGCAAACTCTCTCTGAGGTACATTAAAAGGTCTTCTATGTCTCCCAGCCGCCCAGGAAAAGACACTGTTAATTAACGCAGGCCTAAGTGCCCTGGTACCGACACGTAATCATAAAACTGTGTGTTGCTATTCAGCGTTAACAGCGTCACAAAATAAATGCCTTTTTATCTGGGGCATTTCTAGGGTTTTTTTAAGATGGGGGCACAAGATGGGCGATAATTCATACAGAAGGACTAACTTTATCATTAGCCAATGATATGCTTTGAATCGGTGATTGACAGGGGAGGAAGCACTCTGGAGGCCAATCAGCTTTCAGCTAGGCCCAAAGCCCAGCTGGCAGCACCCTTGTATGCACCCCTGATTCTACTGAAGTTGATTTGGCTTTCCGATCTGCACGGCTTTAATAGGCTCCATCCGGAAAAGTTTTCTGCAGCTAATCTGACCACCAATGCTGCACCTGCCACTGCTGTGATGTTTCTGGAAGGTGGAGAGAGCGTTCTGCTTCAGAAAGGACCCAGGATGCCGCCAAACGGAGCCTGGGCCGCCCCCCCAGTCAAGCAGGGGTCAAAGAGCCTACTGTCCCACACTGGTCCACTGTCACCTGCAGTCAGCAAATGATAGAACTCTGAAAGGCTCCTCCGTGGTTCTGGGAGGTCAGAGGTCCTGAGCCACGCCCCCCCGCCCCCGCACCTGGGAGCGTTAACACGGCACGGTGCATCTCCATGACAGTTTGCTGAGTTGCCACGGACGATGGCTCACGCCTTGTCACCGGGCCCCGGCACTCGTACGCCACCCTGTCACGTCACGGGTCCAAAAAGAGAAGAGAGCTGGGTTCCGAGGCGTAGCTCGGCCTGCCGGGTTCACATACGTCCAAAGGCTGGAGCACACGTGCCCGGGAACTGTTCCTGTCTATCGCAACGATTCAGAATATATACAAGATACTACAATGACATAGTAATGGATGGCTGCACACTCTTGTCAAGTGCCTTAGGGCTACTTTGTTGTGAAAGGCGCTATATGAAAATAACTTGAATTCACTTGAATTTAATTAAATCCAAGAAAAAAAAATGCAAAAATCTCTTAAAGATGCCTCCATAAAGCATTCACCCATTTAACAAAAATTTAAAAACCTTTTATCAATTATAGGCTTTACCTGTTACGTTTAACCATTATCTTTCATATTTGTAGGAATGGAAGACAATGTCATTATTTTTCTAAGTAAAAATGAAAGGGAAGTACATCATAAAATGGTAGCACAACCACATGTCTATGCTTAAATATCTATGTGTGTGTCATTGCGTGTCTATGCATGAATATCTATGTGCGTGTGTGTCTGAGGGTGGACCTCGTCGCCGCTCGGTGAACAGCACGCCCCGGAAATAAAGCCTGGCGGGTGAGCCGTGCTGCTCGCGGCGGAGATAAAGGCGACAGGAGCGGCGTGCTGGTGATGAATGAGCGCAGATAAGGTGAAATTGCTCCTCAGTGGCTGTTCATATACAGCCGAAGAACTCATCTGTCTTTAAAGTGAATGTGACTCCTGGGTTCGGCCACCCCCCCCCCCCTGCCGGGAGACACCCACTTCACCTAATAGCCCGTCGCTTCCCACCCAGTGCAGAGCCGAACAACCCCGACACCCCCACCTGCCCCCCACAACCCAAAACTCACCGTTAATCACAGTTTCTCAGGCTTTGATCCTCCACTTTCCCACAAAGAAGCAGAGCTGCTGCCATCTCTGTCCAGGTTAAGTAACTAAATCTTTTCCATTAATCTTAAGATCTCAGTGGCTTCAGTATCTGGTCTCAGTTCTACCTTCATCGATAAAACTCCCAGATGCCACATCATGACAGCCTTTCTCATGGACCTTTGGTTTCTGGAATTTTGACTTTCGCACCATATTAGTAAATGAAGTAAAGTTTCAAGTGGGATCCATCTATAACTTCAATCCTTACAAACATCTACATGTCATCCAACTCTGAGATACATACAGCGGTCTCTCCTTATCCACGAGTGATATGTTCCAATATCCAAGGGCATAACTTCGGGTTGAGTATTGGGGGTTCAGGTCTTCAACATTTTAAGGGGGTCCAGGGGCTTGTATTGGCTAGTTTTAATTACTTACATTATCACATTTATGCACAGCAAGCATCACCAACATTAAATACAGTAAAAATAAAGCACATTCTACAGTACTGTAGCATATTCTTGTCTTCTCTCAAATTAAAGGGATTCTGACATTTTGGCCTAATTCTCATTTTGGCCTAATTATCATTAGCCAATGATACATTTTGAATTGTAAGTAACAGGGGGCGGGGCACTATAGGGACCAATCAGCTTTCAGCTGGGGCCAGTGCCACTGTGGCCCCACCCCTGTATACACCCCTGGGTGCAGCACTGGACAGCTTGACCCAACCAACAGCATTTTCTAAGAAACCCAGCTGCTATGCCTGAAGTCCAGAGGCTCCCCGATAAAGTTGGGTTATTCAGTCTGAACCTCCCTCCTCCCCCCCCCACACCCCTTTCCTGGGGCACCATTTTCTCCATAAAAATCGCAGACAGTATAACAGCCACAGGCGAATTGGCGTCACTTTCAACATCTGGCCAGAGGACCGAAACGGAACAATAATGCGACGTGTGCGAGTCGGCGTGACATAGATCGCATGTGTTCACGCCTCTGGATAAATTCCTCGCAGGCAGGACCTCAGAAGGGAATAAATACGGGATAATTTCCAACCTTAAGTGAGGAGGGGGGGGGTTAAAAAGAAAGAAGAGAAAAATGCGATAAGGCTCTTGGCGGGAGGCGCAGGGGGGGGCACGTGATTCGGGGTGGTGGGGGGGGGTGCTGCCAAATATAGACAGTCGCAAATTGCTTTTCCCGCTGCATTGATTGCGTCCTGGCCTCATTTACATACCGCACCCGGCCGATCCGCGGCCTGCTTACGTGTCCTGACTTATAACGCGGGACTCCGGCCCGGGATCGACGGTCTTGTCCGGCCCTCCACACTTACCATGGGCGTGAGGGTGACTCCGGCATTGTCATTCCGTTCCACGTGGTTGTGGGTTAAAATCTCATAGAGCAGAAGTTCTGAACTGGTTTAGCCTCAATAGCCACGTTTTTCACTTAGTCATTAAGTCACAGCCCAATTTTTTAAAATTTGAAACCAAATTTATTCACAAAAATAGTGCAGTAAAGGTAAAAAAAAAAAAATAGGCCTGTAATCAGACAAAAGTAAGGAAGAAAAAAAACAATACTTGTGGATTGGAGATGGGGGTCCTGGGGGTGATATTTGCCCAGCAAAAAAAATATATATATTTTTTTTGTTAACCGCACAGACACCAGAACTCACTGTCATTACAGAACCTTCTTTTTTGCCGGTAAAGTCCAGTAAAGTCCAGTTTTAGACAAAAAATAAAGGAGGTGATGTTATCATCTTCTCAATTACCGTCTGCTCTTGAATAAAACACTGCATAATTTTCCAACGTACATCGAGAAGGGGTCTAAACTTATCTGGGGGGCAAAATCACTTATGCTGATTATTAATTAATAAGCTATAATTATCATCAATTTCCTTTTACAGAAGCTCCCAGAGGCCCTACTCTCTGCGTTTGCTCTGCCGATGAGACTCAGGTACCGTCAGAAACCCAGACTGTCGGCATCTCATTAGAATTAATTTAATCACATATTGATTATAAAGCCGCATGTGACTCTGGTTGTGGTTTTAACAGATTCGCAGCATCAGCATTAAGTCTGGACAAACCTACTGAAAAACATTCTTTGCGACAAGATACCGACCCTAAGCTCACCTCGAGGTTATGTAAGCGCTGTATTGTCTTGTAAATTAGGAAAGAGATGGAGTGCTGTGACAGATGACCTGGCCCCCACGATACCCCCCACCTAAACCCTACAGAGCTGGTTTGGGGTGAGTTGGATCGAAGGGTAAGAGCAAGGTAGCCAACTTGTGCCCAGAACTTGTGGAAACTCCTTCAGGGCTGGTGGAGAAGCATTCCAGGTGGCTACATCTGAAGCTGGTTGAAAGAATCCCAAGAGTCTGCAATGCTGTCATCAAAGCCAAGGGGGTATTTTGAGGAGTCTAAAATTTGAGAAAACTTTGAGATGTCGAATGCTTCTCTTGTTCGCCGCAATATTTGATATGTGTCGCTTCACTGCCTCGAGGCCTTTTACTATAAGGTGAATAACAGCTAAAAGAGACAAATGCATTAAAAGCAGGCGTGTCCAGATCTTTGACTGGTACTTATATGCAGACCCACGGCTTTTTATGAAACGCCCCCTGCTGGCTGAGAGCTGAAACGCCAGCGGGGATGAGTGTGAAGAGGAGGCACAAGGGTTGTTAGTGGTACTCACCAGGATGGTGGTGATGGTGAGCGTAGCGTTTCGCAGCGTGTCGGTGGCGTTGGGGGAGTACAGTCTCTGGTCCATGGATAGGCCCTGCTCTGAGTGCCATTGCCCGATCTGTTGGGGGGAGGGGGGGGCAGTGACAGCAGAATGAGGCAAGTACATAATTATTATGTGCAATTATAATTAAGTTTGACCTTTCATAACACTCTGTCCCACCATACCAGGAGACTGTACATTTTCCAGGACCTCAATTCCCTCTGGCCGCATATACGGCCGGCTATTTTTCACTCTCTCTGAACCATCCGACCCCCCGTCCGTGCAAAGAACCCACGTGCCGAGCTGGGATGCGGCAGCGTCGTCAAATGAGTCCGGTACTGAATCGAGCCACTGGACCAGGCTGGGGCCGTAAAGAGTTGGTGTGTGAGCGGAGAAGGAATTACTGCAGGAAGTGCGATTCCACCAGGGTCGGATTAACTCGATGTTACCTCGGAACTGTCCAAGCGGAATGTCATAAATTCCGCTTTTACTTCCTGGCAGTTTCGTATCTGCTCTTTCTGATATCCCCAGACTGGAGGTGGACTCTCTGGATCTGGAGGCTTCGGGTGAAAGCAGAAATGGGGCTCAGCATGATTCCTTCCATTTACCCGAGTGTACCTGTCTGAATGGAATAGTCCATTACAGCCTGGAAAAGGGGGGGCAACTTTATCTGTACTAAAAAAATAATAACAGCTAATAAGAGACATTCATGTTTGACCTATTCAGGGTTGCGGGGGTCTTGAACCCAACATGGAGGCTACAGGCACAAGGCAGGGAACATCCCAGGATGGGGCGCCTATCCATCGCAGGGCACAGTCACACACCATCCACTCACACCCACCCACCTATGGGCAATTTGGTGACTCCAGTTACCCTCAGCATGTTCTTGGCTGTGGGGGGAAACCCCATGATGACACGGGGATAATAAATAAATAATTAGTCTTATATCCATAAAAGTAAAATCTAACTGGAAATTCACGGGGCCCCTGGTTTTTGAGTGTCTATATTTACCTTATAGGACGTCCATCCCATAAAACTCACCTCTGTTAAACTCAGTAACCATAAAAGCCAAACCATGACACTGAGGGACTGTGAGAGACTCTTTCCTCCATCGGGGGGGCAGAGCACGGGTTCGACGTCGGCGTCCGTGAAGCTTCGACTTTGTACCCAAGGCTCGTCCCTCGAGTCGCTAATGGGCGGCCATGAGGCTGCAGTGACTCTGCTTGTCATCTGCCCCCCCATGGTCGTCTGAATGTCAGGCGTGGTGGGGGAGGTGGTGCGGTTAGGATCGGAAGGTCGCTTTTTCAAATCATGACAGAGCTATTTCACCGTTGGGACCCAGAGCAAGGCCCTTAAACCGCAGTCGTTCCAGGGAATGGCTGCCTCAGCTTTCTCAAACAATGTACGCTGTCTTTTATAAAACTGTCTGCTAAATAAACAAAAATGCAAATAAAGTATCCTTACAATCATTCTTTAAAAGGTCATTTGTTTCTATAAATGTCTACTAATTCACAAGCTGCTTACTGTTGTTTTTTTTTTGTACTTAGCCCAAATAATTTATTGATTATAAATATTTGAGCAGTATTTCTTTGCTCTTGTTTTTGCAGTACAGAATGTGGATGTATGTATATTAAGCTCCCGTTCGCTCCTGCTGTGTTCTGGAATGCTTCCCGCCGAGACAGGAGACCGTGCTCTTCACAACGTCTGTATGAGGTTTGAGGCCTCTGCGCTGATTTCACCACTCAGAGTTGTGTACTGTCTGTATCCAGTCTGAGCACTACAGCTCCCCACAGAGTCACAACATGCTAAAATTAATGGAGGAAAGTTTTTTTTTCAAGAGGTCTTTTGTTCCTGGGGAACAAAGACGCACTCATGATACATCACGCAAAAACAACACTCTTGGAATGAAGAAAAGAAAAGAAGTTCCGGGAGGATGTGATTGAAAGATCTGGCAATCAATTTCCTCTATAGCAGTGGTCTCAAACTCCAGTCCTGGGGGGCCGAAGCCCTGCACATTTTTGGGTTTCCCCTCATTTAACACACCTGATTCAACTCCTTGTGTTAATTACAACACAGCTCTTGAGCTGTGATGGAACAGGGAAAGAACTAAGCTACACAGGGCTGGAGTTTGAGACCCCTGCTCTATAGTGTCCCTCCGTGAAACTACTGTCTCCGGACCGTACCAATGTTGACTTTATGCAGGGGGGGGGGGTTATTTTGTAACACACTGACATCTTTCTTGTGCTGATTACACTGCTCAAGGAAGAATCTCGGAGCCTCCCAAGGCACGGGTGGGCTAAGATGAAAGCGATTCGTTTTCTGACCCCTTCCCCCCCAACACACACAAGTCCTGTACTCTCACCTCAGCTGGGGAGTACAGCACCCCACACTGTGATGAGGCCCTGCGAATTTCTACATACACAAACACGTATTTACTACTTCAATCCTCATCCAAATCCCCGAAAGTGTCTCTAGCTTGCCCTGCAGCAAAGCTGGATAACATTAAAAACATAACTCAAGAACACAACAGATTCACCATGACACTTATGTCTCCCCTACCGGCTTCACTGTACGCACACGCACCTGTACAGTTTATATATTCCATACACAAGGGTATGCTACTTATTTAAATATTTAATGCTAACAGGTCCGGCTGGAAAAATAATGTTTTCAATCGCAGTTGTTTCACGTGAAGCCCTTGGTTCAGTCTCCATGAATGGTTTGCACAGGGAAAGACAGTCTAAGGCAGGGCTATTCAACTCATGGTTCGCAAGGGTCGAGCCCTGCTGGTTTTCCAGCCTTCCTTCACCTGTGAGCCAGGTTTGAAGCCTCTGACCAATCAGAATCAGTAATTGTTAAACTAACTACCTGGGAGAACTGAAAACAAGGCCTGGATTTGGAATCGAGGGCCTGAATTGAATAGCCCTGGTCTATGGTATGAAGTGGAGGCATAAACAGGGGTGGGGCCACAAGGGTACTGGCCTGAGCTGAAACCTGATTGGCTGCCTGAGTGCCTCCTCCCCTGTCACTCACTGATTCATAACATATTATTGGCTACTGATAAGGTTGGCCCCTCTGTGTGAGTTATGGTCCCTCTTATACCCTCTACTTTAAAAAAGCTAGGACACAATA